TGCATATGTGCAAATGAAAACTGAAAATGACGTCTTATTTTTTCTTAACAGGACTTACACAAAACACAGAGGCTATTAAATTCCCATATAATCGTTGGTCAGTCCTGACCACTCTAGGTCAGCTTCTATGGGGAAAGTCTTCAGCCGTCCAGAGGTAAAATGATCATTTTATAGATATATTTCATAACTGGATTTACAGATTCACAAAGAGAAAAGTTTGTTCGTTTTTATAAGGAGATAGTGATTATAATAAAACCACATTTTCTTCACATTTTTCTTTGTAACTTGGAGTCAATGTAGTTTCGATGTATGGTAGTTTTTTTCTGTATTTACAGACTGAGAAAGAAAAGTTCATTCGTCTTTGTAAGGAGATGGCGGATGATGATTGTCGTCAGTACAGAGAAGGTTATCCGGTAAGTTCATTGTTATATTCTTAAATAATCTGTTAAAATATTACAAGAAATAGAAATCATGAAACACTTTTATAAGTGGATAAAGCACTGTTTGTCCCTGTAGTCCCAGCGTATTGAATTGCCCCCCCCCCCCAGCCCTTCACGGCTCAGTTGAGAACAGTATAGATAGCCCATTGTGTAGCTTTATGCTTAATAACAAACAAACAGAACGTATTGACTTTCAAACAAAGTTGTTGTTTTCTTATAAAATTGCCGGATTGTACTCTATCATAAGAGAAACTTATAAATACGAAACATACAAGATGTCGTTGTTGTTACTAAATTATTGGACAAGGCATTACCAAGTGATTAGCGTGTCTAGATTGTGAATCCGTGCTCCAAACTTTGGAGCCATGGGTGCACTATAAGAGTCTCAGGCAAATCCCCAATTAAAAGTTGGCGGTGTGTACTGTTGACTAGCTGCCTTCCCTCTAGTCTATCAGATAGTTCTTTTGTGGCTTTAAAATAAATTCTGAAATAAATACTCATATACAACTGAATATTGTACAACCAATATAATATTGCTTTCCCCAATTTAAACAAAGTATTCCTAATTAGTTGTCTAGCTTCTCAGTACCCACAACTGAACAAGGAACTTGTTAATTTAAGTTTTAATTTTTCATATTTGGCTCTTGGACTTTTTCATTATTCTGTACTGTTAATTAAAGTTACCAGTGCTACTCTGTAAAGAAAGAAGTTTAAAAAGTACACTTCCAGTCGAACTTAAGACAGAAGCAGTGTTTATCAGGTTTTGTAGGCTGGATTCTTTATAGTAGGTGTCTGTGACTTGTTGGCGATAAATTTCAACAATAAATGGACAGCACCCAATCCACTTGTTTAGAAATAACATATTCAAAACAAGTCGAACGTATGTACAAAAAATTAGTTACACTATTGCTTATTGCTTAGTTGTATCCAGAGCTTTAAATAATTGTCTGTTTTTCGTCAAATTTAACACAGGCGGGTGCAATTACTTCAGAACATCCTTTGCCAAGACAAATTATTTTCCTCTATCTCTGTTATTACAACACAAGCTGTTAATATCACTTTAGAAATTGCCACTGTATGCTCTTTGTGGTTAAACTCACAATTTTGCAGTCTAACGTCACTTTTTTTACTTTCACGAACTTACTGTTGCATCAGCGGAGGTCACGTGACTAGTATCACGCCACGTCCTTCTCGAACATTCACGTCCCTTCCTTAAATCTCGGGATCCTTCTAGATATAGTGTAGACTTGTATATATAAGCCAGTAAGAACTGAGGCGAGGCAATGTAATGAGTAATTGAATGTATGCGGACAGAATATTGTTGAGCACGTGAGAAGTTCGTTGTGAATTATAGCGTTTGTTATAGCGCGACTGTTGAAATTAAGTGTATCGTAAAGTTGTATTCAGAAAGAGTTTTATTTAAGAAAGGACTTTCAGAGAGGTTTGAGGGACTTTGCTGCCACTGTAATAAACCTGGGCACAAGAGAGCTCAATGCTGGAAACTTCAACACAGGGGAGATGATACAGCAGGAAAGGCTGGTATCCAGAAAAGTTGTTGGAACTGTGGAAAGCACGGACATTTGAGGAGCCAGTGTAGGAAGAATATTACCAACAAGTCGGCCTCAAGGAGACCAGTAGTGATTGGTGTTGAGCGACGCCCACCAACCTCCATCATGAAAGTCCCAACAGCTAGATGTAAAATGCCAAGCATACTCCTTCGTGATTTAACACCTTGATGCTCACAAGGGTTTGCTGAGACGCAGAGTCTATGACAAAGTTGCACCTTTGGCCATCCAGCTTTCCTGTCACATAGACACTGTGCCAGAAGCCATATAGAAGTTCTGTGGTGTGACAGGACATTCCGCAAGGTTGTGGGACCAGTGTGGGTAACTATTGAGCTCATGGGCATGAAGAATAGAACACAGTATACTTGCCCGACATTGAAGACCCATGCATATTAGGGTTGGACTACTTACTACCGAGGAAGTTTGTAATTAATTTTGATAAAATGACGTTTGGAAACAACAAAGGCCAAATTCTAATAAGTGTTAAAAGAGAGGTTGAACTAACCAGGTGCCATCAAGCTGAAGTCAAAGTGACTGAAGGAGTTGATGATGGTGAAGTGGAACCAGATATAGATATTAAAGCAGAGCAGGAAAAAGATCAAGATTTTGAAGCCAATAATTGATTTTCTAAAAGCAAATGTTTTGTGCCCTGCTTGGGAGAAGATGTCTAGCTTAAGCCCTGTGACAAAGAACTATTGGGCACAATTGGACCAGTTGAAGCTTGAAGATGGTAATCTTGTCCGGAGATGGGAGACTGTATATGGGAAAGTGACGACCTGGCAAATGGTTATACCGAGAAAGTTACGGGAAGTTGTGCTGCGTCAATCCCATGATACTTTAACAGGAAGACATTTCGGAGTTAAAAAGACATTGAGTCACCTACGACAGAGTTTTTACTGTATAGGTATGAGGAAAGATGTGGAAGAATGGTGCAGGACTTGCAGTACATGTTGTGCTAAAGGGGACCCAAGCATAAGGGACGTGCTCCAATGATATTATATCAAGTTGGCGAACCAATGAAAAGAGTAGCCGTTCACATTGCTGGTCCTTTGCCCCAAACTCGTGCTGGAAACAAGTACATTTGTGTGGTGATGGATTATTTCACCAATTGGCCTGAGGCATATGCAATACCAAATCAAAAAGCTACAACTGTAGCTTCAGCTATTAGT